CAAATGGCTGTGACCCCAAAAAAAAACAAAAGTCCAAATGGCTTAATTTAATACAAATTGATTTTGAAAGGAAAACAAAAACTTTTCATGTATACATATATAGCATTGCGAAAAAGAAAATTGCAATTAGAACTATATGAAACTAGCAAAAACATCTGAAGGGAAATATATTTATGTGAATTAGTGTAACTACGAATGAACAAGTATTAGTGTTGATGAATAATTTTATAGATGTCTAAACATCGTAACATTATAAAAGACGTATAATACCTTAAGATTTTCATTTTTAATTTTTCCTTAGTCCTTCCATGTCTTCCACAAGAACAAAAACATGGCACTCCTACAAGTTAGTGGTATCCACATCTTCACCATTTTCATTCCACAAGTCTAATCATATATTATCTGTATGACAACCAAACTCCCACGTAAGATTGACCTAACAATATTTATGAAATGTAAATATATTTGTTTAGTTTTACAAGTTTTGTTAAAAGCCAACAAATCATGAAGAACCTTAAAATACCATAATATATACCAAAACTATACCTAGAAAATGAAGCAAATGAATTCAATCATATTCTTTAATTCTCCCTCTAACATTATTTTCCTCTTACCAGAACACATTTAAACACATTTTAATATACCTTTCTTATCAACTATCACCTTCATTATCTTTAGACTCCATGTGAGTTTTTGACTTTCCCTCTCTGTTCAAGAACATTCTGAAAACAATGGAGAAGGATAATGAAAAGAAGAGTCCTTGGGAAACACTTGATTTTCGCCAACTCAAGCACACGAATTCTCCGTTGTTCTCTACCGCCATTTTCGCGGTCATAATCTTGCTCGTTGTCGCGGGAACAATCCTCTCAAACGTGTCTCTAGAATCAACTTTCTTTTGGGCTTCACCAACCTCTGAGGTAATACAAATTAACACAATGGAGAGAAAATCATTGGCTCCTCTGAAGAACACTACAAGCAGAGACAGAATCGCTTGGCTTCGTTCGCATCTAACCGAATTCGAGGTTTTCAAGTCAACTAACATTTCAGAGCAGTTTCACAACAGAGTTCTTGAGTCTCTAGACGACAAATGTGAGGTTAGATTCTTCATGACATGGTTTTCACCAGCAGATTTTTTCGGAAAGCGAGAACTTCTAGCTGTAGAAAGCGTCTTTAAATCTCATCCTCAAGGATGCTTGATGATTGTATCAGGATCGATGGATTCTCAACAAGGAGATAACATCTTAAAACCGCTCCTTGATCGCGGTTACAAGGTTTTCGCAGCCACACCAGACATTTCATTGCTTCTTGAAAACACACCGGCCAAAACTTGGTATCAAGAAATGAAAAGCTGCAGAAGAGATCCAGGAAGGATACCATTATCTCAGAATCTTTCAAATCTTGCAAGACTAGCGATTCTATACAAGTACGGAGGTGTTTACCTCGATACCGATTTCATCGTCACTAGAAGCTTTAAAGGGTTGAAGAATTCGATAGGAGCACAAACAGTAGTGGAAGGAGATTCAAAGAACTGGACAAGATTAAACAACGCTGTTCTGATCTTCGAGAAAGATCATCCGCTTGTTTACAGTTTCATCGAAGAGTTTGCTTCGACTTTTGATGGGAACAAATGGGGACACAATGGTCCTTACTTGGTAACCAGAGTAGTGAAGAGAGCACAAGAAACAATTGGTAACAACTTCACAGTATTGCCACCAGTAGCATTTTATCCATTCAATTGGATAGACATTCAAAGACTGTTTCAGACACCGAGGAGCAGTAATGATTCGACATTACTCAAAGCCGATCTGATCAAGCTGAAGAAAGAAAGCTACGGGTTGCATCTATGGAACAAGATCACTGGGAAACTTAAGATCGGTAAGGGCAGTGTCATAGACATCATAATTTCAGATCATTGTGTTGTTTGCAAAGGAATTCAAAGATGAATTAATTAAAGGCAATCAAATCTGTGTCTATAGTGTTTAACTCTAATCCTGATTTTCTAGGTTTGTGTTCTTTCTTTCCTCATTCGTCTAAGTGTTAAAACGTTGCCTTATGACACACGTATCAGAAGCTCAGTGCTCCACACCAAAAGCCATGTTCTTTAAAAAACATAAATATACACTACAAACATATTAGAATCATAACCAACATAATACTTTTTTCGTTTTGAAAAAGATATTAAACTTTATTGAGGTGTTTTGGAATTAATAATGTAAGGATGATAGTGAACATTTGCTCTTGACCTGAGAGAGATCTCAGTTGGTCATGTCTGGACTCAACATTCCTTAAGACCATTCTCCAAAGCTTTCACCAGATTGGCAAAGTAGGTTTTGGTTATGACTGTCAAATCGGTTAATTTGGTCTGGAAATGTTTGAAATCTTCTGAAGGGCCTTTAGCGTCGTAAAACACCTCTAACTCTTTCTCTGCGCAGTGGTGGAGCCGCTCCAAACCTGAATCAGCCTCCCCTTGCAAATACTCGAAAAACACTTTCTTACCTTCATCAGCTAGATAGTAACCATAAGCAAATGTCCATTCCAGTACCCGTCTGCATTCAATGATCTGAAGCCACGCCTCTGTGATGAACTGGAGCTGAGTTTCTGACGTGCAAAGTATCTCACTAAGCTTCTTAAGGCCTTCAGATTGCAGTTTCTGCAGATCCGCCATAGCTTTTTGCCTCGACAAGAGATGGCTTAACCAGCGTTCATAATAATAAGTGTATCTTTCTAGCGACATTTTAGCCATCGCTTGCTTCCTGTCAGCCTCACTAAACTTTCCTTCTTGCTTCTCCTTCTCATAACGGTTGCAGGCATAAAAACCACCAGAGCTTTGCCCGTGAATTTTCCATGCCTTAAGGCAAAGCCAACAAAACTGATGACGACAAGGTGATCTGCATGTCATGTGCATGCAGCCCTGATTCTTTTCAATCGCCCGATGACACTTTGGACAAGGCTTTGTATTGGCAAGTAGCCAATCCGTATTTTCAGACTCAGCGCTGTTCTTATGCAACCATTTTGCAACCGTGTCACAATCCACAGGAGGGTGAGCCTCTTCAGTGCAATTCCAGCAAAATCTATGCGAGCACAAGCAGGAAACATCATAACTCCCAGTCCCTGCAGCAAAATCAACCGCATGCTCGCATCCCGGTGCAGGACACCACTTCATCTTCTTGTTGTCTTCAACATAAGACCTAAGGAAGTACTTGTAAAACTTCTTCTTGTCTTCCTCCGAAACCAGTTTTTCGACCATATCTAAACGAACAGCAGCAGAACAAGAAGGCTCAGGACATTTAAGCATCAAGCATCCTGGACCATCATTGATACTTGTCCTGATATAACCATTCCAGCAATCAGAGCAGAACGGATGACCACAAGGAACCGATACAATAACCTTAGGACAAAACGAATCAAAGCAAATTCCACATGTAACTTCTCCTCCACAACCATAAGGTTTTGTGACAACAACAGGTTTCTGCAATATACCAACGGTTCTACGAACTCTCTCCTCATCTGCAAACCATTCATCATCAATTTTACTAACATTCCAGTGATAGTAAAGAAGCAAAACACTCGCTTCGACCTCAGTTACAGAGAGGACAGTGGAAACTCGTCTGATATCATCATTCTGATGTTTTCGAATGTCGTCTTCCTTGAGAACAACATAATTTACCTTAGAGCAATCGGAATCTTCTTCATCATCAAAACCACCGTTCCCGTCGGTGTAATAATCATCCTCTCCCGTTTCCATATCGAGCATGTCATCGTCCGAATACATGATCGGTGAAAAGAAACCTAACCAAAAAAGTAAAGAGGAGGCTTGACAATGTAGGGTTCACCAACAAAACAAATCTTATATAGAAAAAAAAAATCATATATAGAAACAGATTTGAGAATATATTATATATATGAAAAAAAAAAGCAAATATCCACTCCTTTTTCCCATTATAATTAGTGTAAAATAAATAAAAAATAGTAGAGAATCAGGAACTTGATATTTCTGTTTAATATGAGAGAGAGTATTAATAATTGGAAATTTTGGAGGCACTAAAAAGGTAATTTTCCGAAAATCCGAAAAAAACAATTGTACAAAAAGGCATCAGGTATTTGGTTGAAAATCTCACTTCCTCGCAATCAAATTACTTGTAACCTAAGGCAACTCCAACTTCAACTCCAGTTTCTATTAGGACAATCAGATTTGTCCAAAACCAAAACGAGATTTGAAATTTTCAAGACTGGCAATCACAAATACACTCTTACTCCATCTAGAATTAGGAACTGATCAACATATACTTTAGAATGTATATATATAGATATGCCTGCAATGAAAAACCTTTATATTTTGCCTAACGCAACATTAGGAAGGATACTGAGCAACAGGGTTAAGATGCGAGCAAGGAAGTTACCAATATTCGCAATCTTTGCGGTTTGTGCTTTGTTTTATCTCCTCTACATGGAGTCCCCAACATCTACTGTCTCTGACAATAAGCCACCGTTCAAACCAAACGTGCCTCTTCCCAGAACCAATGGCCCCATAAGTAGTAGTTGCAGTGTCTCCGTTGTCGAATCAGATCACGAAGAAAAAGAGGAGTTAGATTTGTTGGTACCTCCTCCGAAGGCAAGCAAGAGCGAGAGAATTAAATGGTTTAGAAGAAAGCTACCTGAGCTGGAGATACTAAATTCGACGAGCAAGAGCAAGAGATTCCATGGAAGGGTTTTGGAGTTGTACAACAACAATTGCTCAGCTCAGTTATTTATGGTTTGGCTTTCTCCTGCAAAATCCTTTGGACCAAGAGAGCTATTAGCTGTTGATACTCTCTTCACAACCAACCCTGGTGCTTGCTTGGCGATTTTGTCAAACTCCTTAGACTCCCCCAGAGGACACACGATCCTTAAGCCGTTGCTTGATCATGGTTTCAACCTCATTGCTGTAACCCCCGATATCCCATTCCTCGTCAAGAACACCCCTGCAGAAGCTTGGTTGAAAAAGTTAAAGAGTGGTAAGATGGATCCCGGTTCCATCCCCTTGTTCATGCATCTCTCTGATCTAACAAGACTCGCGGTGCTCTACAAATACGGAGGAGTCTATCTAGACACAGACATCATCTTCCTTAATGATGTAACAGGACTGAGAAACGCAATTGGGGCACAGAGTATAGATCCAGAAACTAAGAGATGGACAAGACTTAACAACGCAGTGATGGTTTTTGACATCTACCATCCGCTTATGCGTGAATTCTTGCACGAGTATTCAACAACTTTCGACGGGAACAGATGGGGATACAACAGCCCTTACCTAGCCTCTAGAGTTATCAAACGATTAGGAAACAAACCTGAATACAATCTCACAATCTTTCCGCCAAACGCTTTTTATCCAGTGAATTGGCTTAAGATCCCAAGGCTTTTCAAGAAACCTGCAACCACAACAGAAGCAAAATGGGTAGAGAAGACAGTACAAAATATGAACAAAGGGAGTTACATGATACATCTGTGGAACAAAGTCACACGAAAGATCAAGATTGAAGAAGGAAGCGTCATGCAAAGACTCATCTCCACACACTGCACAGTCTGCAGAAACATCACTAATTCTCACACTTAAAAGATCCAAAGCAGAGACAAAAGATTCATTCATGTATATAAGTAGAGATTCTCCTGTGTGCTGTTTTTTTCTTCGTTTTCTTTCAGTGTTTACATATTTCTTTATCAATCTCTCCCATAAAGAACTCGAATCAAGACTCTCAATCACACAAACATTATCAAGGAAAGAATTTAGGGAATAAACAAGCAGATTTTCATAGAAAGGAGAGAAATTTGGAGATGTTTAACAACAACAAAGAGAGTCGTAGCATCATAAGCTTCTAATAATCAAATGAAAATTACAGTGACAAGAGACTCTTTGTTTCTAATTAGAGAAGAGAGACTCGTCGATGTCGATTTTGATCTTCTCGTCGTTCTCAAACTTATCCTTCCTCGGAGGTGCAGGAGGAACCGGTACTCTCTCCGGTCCTCTTCCCTTATTCTTATTTCTTGGCCTCGCCTGCTCACACACCACATAACCAAAACTCAACCCCAAAAATTCGAATTCGCAGGGTAATTTTACGGAATTTGAAAGAGAGAAATTGGATACTCACATTCCCGAACGAGTGATTGAATCGCTTTCCCTTCGCTGTTTTGCGGTCACCTCGCCCACAGTACACTGACACCGGAGAAATTAGGAGTGAAATAGAGAGAGAGACAGAGAGAGATTAGGAGTGAAACAGAGAGATTACCGAGTGGAATTGAGCTTGAAGACGAAGCGGAGAGAGAGAATTGCTGAGTGAAGCAAGAGAGAGAGACACCGACAGTTTCCGAGTGAGATGATGATAACCGTGGAGAAGATAATGCGACGGTGACTCGCGGAGGAGCTCCGAGAAGAAGCGACGCCATCGCCGTTGTTTTTTTTTTTTGCGGTTTATCGTCTGTTTCGAATGTGTTTGAGGAAGAAGATAAGGTCGGGTAACTGGAAAATGCGTTTTAGGATAGGCTTCTTCTCGTACTTTATGAGACAAATTATTGCATAATTGGGCTTAAATTTTAAAAAATTATTAAATTGGGCTTATTTTAGCCCAAGTCCATTCTAAAACCCTACATGCTTCTTCTCACGTGTAATCGAC